ATCGGCCCATCTCCGCTTTGCATGTCAGCCTGTCTGTCAGGAGCTAAGACGAGGGGGGGGTATGGGGGGCTGCATGATATATTTTGTAACATAATCTGTTCTGCTCGCTGAAATCATGCAGCCTTGTCCCGTTAGTGTGAAATGGCCATGTGATGTTCCACAGGTAGCAATGAAAATCACCCATACTGTGCATGCATGCCCACCAGGTGCAGGATCAGATATTAGTTTTGAGTCGCTGGCATTACCAGAGTGCAAGAAGCACCAGAAAACTCACTTTTTATGTATTTTTTCAGGACAGGAACCGAACACAGACCGTAGCTTTCTGTTTTTTTGTTTTTTGCATACTGTGTGTCAGACCACTGTTGCATAAAGATTTCCAGGATGTACCGGGCTCGGGTCAGATTTTCTGGAACAATGGCCTGACTCACTCATGCACAAACTCCATGTCTCTCTTTGTATCACTCTCTCTCTCCCTTTCACAAACATACAGCACACATTTGATCCCATTTTCTTGTTTTTTCCTTTTAACATGATTGTTTTTCTTAACATCCCTTTTACAAATCACCTTACACTTGACACTAAGTGAGTGTAAAGCCGATACGTGCAATGTCCATGACAATTAGAAACATTAAGATACAACATGTGGTGCCCCGTGTGAGTCCGTGCCTGGAGTTTAGGCTTCACAACAACAGAGCCGTTTGCTCTTCTTAGCCCAACATGAACATTTAGATGAGGCAAATCCCATTGAGTTACTTCTAGATCTGCTCTGACATCCTCAAATCCTGTGGAGTATTTGACACTGGTCCTATAATAATAAAAACCAGCTGACATTGGCTGCTACGCCTCACAGAAAACTTTATGACAAATCGATTTTCTGATTTCTTTGACACTTTCAATAACTCTTTTATGCACACGGACATTTCACAATTACCTGACTTTATAACTCGTCGTATTCTTGTGCATACGCCAATGTCAGTGTCTCACTTTCACATTCATCATAGCTGTCAGCGCAAATGTGGCATTCAGAGGGAGCCGCTGCTGAAAAGGCAAAACCACAGGCTGTGTGGTTTTCACGGGGGGGGGGGGGGGAATCACTGGTGAGGAATGTACTGTAGGTGTGAGCGGGTTGAAGCAGGTTTTTATGGAGCTAATCAGCGGTTGGATGGCCTGTGGGTTTTTTTCATCCTGACCATGAAGCAAGAAGTGGTTACACAGAACAGGAAGTGGCTTTGGTGAGAGCCTTTCCGGCAACATCACACAGATAAAATGATGATCTCTGTATGCAGGTATGAAAAAGAGGACGGGAGAGAGACAGTGGAGTTCATCGGAGCTAACGAACTGTCGACCTTTGGAGGGGACACCTCATTTGTCAGATGTGGGCTGGTGGAGTGGTTTAACTTAATTAGCCCTTTCCACAGGGAGGCAGAAGGTCTCATTTGCAATTTCCTCTTCTTTTATACACGACTGCCTCCACTATCTACCTCTTTCTGCTGGGTGATTCTTCTTCCAGCTGTCACATTGTGTCTATTAAAACACTTTCCAGAAGATTTGGCCGAACGGGAAAGCCCAAATTTTAATAAGCAAAAACTCCAACCAAAGAAGATAACACAACCCTCCTATTAGACGGAACATTTCTGCTTAATAAGCAATAATGTAAACCCTTTTTTTTAAACACATAACCTCAGAGGTTCTGACATGACAAGTTTTAAGGCACTGACACACCAAGCAGACAGCAAAGAACTAGTGGCCTTGGCCGAAAAGTTGCTCTAGAACACACCGCAAAGACTAGAGCCGACGTCCAACCACCACGTACGCTCTGCGCATGCATGAGAGGAAATAACTCTCCATGCCAGCAGGCGGCAGTAGTCCGTTGTTATGACACGAGAAGACCATTTTCACACCGCTCAAGTCAACACTCGTATTATAGGTCACCTACTAATCGAGAATAATGTCTGATAAAAAGTTGAAAATGCCACTTTTCTGCACAAAAAGAATGCTAGGTGGACACAGGGCTTAAGAATTACCTGGCTACTACTTAATATTCTTTGGATTTTCAGCCATGGCTGCTGGCTATAGTATCAAATATCATCATGAAGTATGTGTTGTTTATCATGTAAAAAAAAAACCTCATGAGACATCCTGGCCATATTCACTTTTATATAAGTGTTTGAAGGCAGCTTCTTCTTCGTCCTCCCCTTTGAAATATCAGAAAGTATGGACGACTCTGCCAGACCACTCTGAGGTATTTACTATGTGCAGATGACGGAGAAAGCCGATACGATTCAGCGTTCCCAAGGGCGACACAGTAGCGTATGAGACGGTAGAACAGCCGTGTCGGAGGCCTGTTTGGACCCACCGCTATCACTGAATTTGCTCATGAATCATTCATCGTTCAGGTTACGTTACCCAACACATGTCAGGTTTCAGGTGGCATGTCAACTCCATGTGACCCCCCTGTGTAAAAAAAAATACATCATGTATTAACAGCAGAAGGGCACATTTCTATTCATGTATTTTTAATCTGCGTCCTGCATGCTGAGCGAGTTTTTTAATGGAATTATAGGAGGTGTGTGACGGCTCGGCTGTTTTATCTGCTGTGTTGGCGCTCCACATGTGAAGGTGCATCATATAAACTTTGACATACGTGTTCTCAGCGAATATCTATCTCGCCTGCTTCCATCACTGCAACACCTGTTGGTTTGACCTGATAACTGCTCTCGGCAAACCGAGGGGCGTCCAAAACGGCCGTGTGGTGTGGGTCGCCTTGAAAGTGTCTACCTTCTCTGGTCCAAACAAATCCAGAGCATTCAGGAGCAGAATCTAAAGTTAGAAGGAGGACATTCTGGCTGCTGCATTGTTGTCAGAGAAGCCAGCACTTCAACATAGCATGTTTCCTTAATGTCTGATCAGATAGTAAGATACCTTTATCATCTCACTCACTACACATCTCACTGATTGGACCTTTAACTCTCTGATGTGAGTCTCATTTTAGCCTCTTTACCTGTTGAGACTTATTTGTTTCCATGGTTGCTCTGTTTTCCTTCATGACCCATTCTGTTTCCGATTCACCTCCCTTTTCTTACCTTTCGTTTTCTTCTTCTTTCCCTCTTTTCTCCCATCAGTCTTTACAGGACATGCTCACCTCCCTTCACTCTGAGCTTGATATTCAGAGGTACTTGATGAAAATCCAAATGCCCCGCAGAGTTAGTCAGCCTTTTATCTTATCAGCATCATGCCATTGTGTGTGTGTGTGTGTGTGTGTGTGTGTGTGTGTGTGTGTGTGTGTGTGTGTGTGTGTGTCAAGAGTGTGTCGCATCCTCACTAACATCTGCTGTGTGGCCGTATTCACGACCCCTTGCAACCCCATGTCTCTTAGCGTCTGCCCCGTCTGTGCCTGCCAAGCAGACTTGGCTACAACGCTTAGCTAGATCTTGCCATGAGAGCTCTCTTAAAAGTCAACTGCACTAAGTATCAAAAGCTGGAGTTCTTTATTTGTGCGTGTGTGTGGGAATTCAAGAGAAAAGCAGTGTGTGTGTGCATGTGTGTGTGTTGGCGCGCTCAAAATAACCTGGCGGACCTGACCTTGTGTCTCCAGCTGTGTTAGCTCCACAGCCCCATTACAGGTCTGCCAGGAAAAAGAAGAGCATTTCATAAAAGGGCCCCAGTGTTCATTGACCCCCCTCTGTTGTCCCCGTGGAAACGGATCAGCTTACAATGCCGCACAGTAGCTCAATAGACTCTGTAGAGCCGTCTCACACATCGTCTTATTGTAGCGCTGGCTTGTGGAGGCCACGTCAACGCAGGTTAGATTACAGATCGGCCAACTGATGCTCAAGTTTTTGATGACACAAGTCCCGATCCTTTATCGGTGCTTAAAAAGGAACTTCTTCATCCAAGGTGACCCACAAAGCACGCTTCTGTTAAACATCTCTTGTGGTGTCTTTCCTCTCATACACTTTTGAAAACATCGTCAAAAAACAGATCCCAGCTCCCGCACTAGAAATGTAAAGGGCCCGATCACACAGAGAGGCGTCGCTTTAGGTGTGGCCTAACAGCACGGGGATAAACAGCTGGGACCCTGTGGAGTGGTGCTGCGGGTGCATGTGGGTTCAAACTGGGGCACCAGTAGTCTAATGGTTAATGAGTGCACACCATGTTCAGAGGCTGTGGTCCTCCAGGAAGCAGCCCGGTTTCAAATCTGCCCTGTGGCTCCTTTCCTGCATGTCGTTCCCTGCTCTCTCTCTCTCTCTCTCTCTCCCCGACTGCTGACTCTGTCCGTTGTCCTATCTCTAAATTTAAGGCATAAAAAAAGCCCCAAAAATAAATCTTAAAGGGAGGTAAAGCCTTCTACTTGATTTGATTGGCTGCTTCGGCCAATAGTGACACTATGAAGATTTATTTTTGGGCTTTTTTTGCCTTTAATGTAGAGATAGGACAGTGGATAGAGTTGGAAATCAGGGAGAGAGAGAGAGTGGGGAATGACAACCCTAACCCTACCTGCCAATAGTGACATGACGAGTATTGCAACTCTGAGCTGAAAAGTAAAAAAATAAATGTTTTGACTTTTATGCACGCCTAAAAACCGCTAGAAAAACGCAGCAGCAGAGGAGAGCGCCCAGCCCAGCGCGCTGTACCAGAGGAAAACAACGGTTCGGCTGGCGACGCTTTTCTAGCGATGCGTCTCTGTGTCATCGGGCCCTAAGACCACTGAGACCACTTTAATGTGATTACTGGAAGCTGCCTTGTGCGAGAAAACTTTTAGTGATGTGTGCTTGTAGTGCAGAACTGAACTGTGTTTGATGTGTTAGCATGCATCAGTGACATGTGGTGTTAACACTTAAATATTAACAAGTTCATACACAACTGTAAACCGATAGACAGTGACCTGTTTTTAAAGGTCACATGTTGTTTAACGCTCATGTGTTGTTATTTTGTGACTAATGTTTGCATGCTCTCACCCGTGCTGTGTGTTCTGTCTCCATGTGTCTCCCCCCCTCCAG